TTAACGAGGCAACAGAGCTCTCTCACAGACCAGGCTGAATATCTAACCAAAGTACAAACCTCAGGATTCCACAGGATGGAGCCATGACAGTTAAAGTGGTGCCTAACTGCTTTAATTCTGCAGTGTGGATACATCCTCAGTGATGCATCTGAGTTGTTGACTTTTCTTCAACATGACTAAGGTTTTAGGCCAATCACTCACAGCACCAACTGTTTACTTTCCAATGCAATACCAAGAGCCTGTCACTCTTTTAAGTTTCAACTACTACCCCAAATTGACAGGATAGTCTAATTCACAATGGGATTCAACATCTCCAAAATGTTGCCTGAAGCTTAAGCACTGAATTTCCACCATAGTTTTTATATGTAGACATACAATATGTATGTATATACATGTGACTTCAGTGAGTCTTACACTGTAGAAAGCCAGCATGGCGTAGTAGTTTGAGTGTCGGACTAAAACATGGAGAACAGGGGGTTCAGTCATGGAAGCCCACTGGCTGACCTTGAGCAAATCACACTCTCTCAGCCTCTGAGGAAGGCAAAAGCAACCCCCCTCTGAAGAAATCTTGCCGAGAAAACCTTGTGATAGGTTCACCTTAGGGTCACCATGAGTGCTCCTGTTCCAGTAATGCTCCCGTTCAAGTAATGAACATACATATTTCCCAGAATACTCCTAGTCTCCTCAGTTTGGCATCTCCAAAGGTTATTTTATGGCATTCTTAGACCTCAAAGACCTACTTTGAGCTTTCCCCCATATATATATATATATCTGTACTCCTGACATCCTGGGTTTCCACTCTATCTTGTTTAGGGGAGGTGCTGTTTTGTCTGTGAATGGACTAGTGTTTGGAAAACTGAAGACTACCTCCATTTACTAGTCCCAACTACCGTAGACCTAGGGACCTTATATAGTAGATCTAGGGACCACTTTCTCTGCCATGGCTGCATCCTATGGAATCCTCCTTGGGTTTGTAGTTCAGAGGCACCAAAGAAGTTTCCCAGTTGAGGACCCTAAAAAGTACTCCCTCAACAGCCAATTCCAGGGTTTCATAGGATGTTGGCATAGCAATTGAAGTGGAATCATGGGGTTATAACTGTATAGTGTGAAAAGGTCCCCACTGAATCAATTGCCAAATCCCATTGATTCAGTGAGTCTACTCTGGTAGGTGCTAGCAATTTGCTACTAGTAAATAAGATGGACTATTTAGTATATAGGAGACTAGACTACATCTTTTGGGTCAATTTAAAAAGGCTAGGGCACTTTTTTAAAAAACAAAAACAAAAATCTCTTCTTCTCATTTGGAAGAAGCCAGTTCAAGGCTTGGAGAAATCTTGCTGGCTTATCATTCTCTGTGCTGACACAATAGAATTATGTGGTGACAATGTCAGTAACACACGTGAGCTGCACACACTAAACTGTTTCAGTATGACTTTGAGGGATGAAGTGTGTCCTCCATATCCGGTTGTGGATGTTTGTGAAGAAAATGACAAGGTTTTTATAATCAGTGATGGAGATCCCATTAAAAGAGAAACTGATCTCTCTCTCTTTTTGTGCATGGCATCTTCCAAATAGAAATATCAGCAATGGCAGGTCCGTAGGTGTGCCAAAAATGTATGAATGTGTTTTTTGTTAGAAGTAGAGCAGCAGTGGATAACTGAAAGCCAATGTGGCAAGAATGTTCTGTTGCACTATATCCTGTGACAGAGAACACATGGTTATGACCTTTGTGGTGGGCATTGCTCAATGTGAAACAGCATCCTCTCATTTCATACTTCTTTGCAGTAAATTCCAAAATGTAATCTCTTTGATTCATGACTAGAATTTTGAAAAGTTATTTCAGGACAACTACTCCCAAGACTCCACCTCAGGGCTTCATGTTCAGCAGCCATATAGTCTAAATCATACCACAGTAGTCCATGCACTGGTAACTGCCTGACTAGACTATTGTAATGTGATCTACATGGGTTTGCCCTTGAAGAAGACTTGGAAGCTGCAGCTAGTGCAAAATGCAGCAGCTCAACTGCTGACTGGAATATCATATAGACAGCATGTAATGTCAGTCTTAGAACGGCACTGGCTGCCAATATGTTTCCAATATGAATTCAAGGTGCTGCTATGACACTTGAAGCCCTAAACAGCTTGAGACCTCAATACGTTGGCCCGCCCCAACTATGGGCTTGCCATCCACAGATTGGATGCTGATGGCCTCGCCCCATTCACCCCAATGGTGGCACGTGGACGTGACTGTGCCACTGCAGCTGTGCACACTGCACATTGCTATTAAAACCAATAGGACATGAGGTCTCATGGTTTTTGGTGTGTGTGTGTGTGTGTCCAGAATGGAACTCCTGCAAATATGATGGGCCGTCTCTTGCTTCCTCACATGTGCCTGCCCGAGATTTAAGATCTGATGAGGGCAGGATCCTCCATGTCCTACCACTGAGGTCTATATACTGTTTTGGGACATGGAAGAAGACCTTCACAGTCATGACATCCCAACTGTGGAATGCCCTTCCACTGGAGGCCTGAGTGGTGTCAACACTGTTATCATTTAGGTGCCAAGTTAAAACTTGGCTGTTTACCAAAGCCTTTGGGCCTCATTAATTCAACCCAAAGACTGTTATACATTTGTCCTTCCACATTTGCTGGGTTTAAGGGCACAGAACCCCCGTGAATGTGAAAAAAATGCAGATAACAAAAACACCATATTTTTACCTGAGAGAACACCTCTCTAGGAATCTCTAGGTCCTCCAGTGCAACTCTGTAGTCAACATCTGCCAGACATTGACCACAGAATTGTGCTAGAGGAGCTACAAATGCCTAGTGGAGTGTTCTCTCTAGGAATCTCTAGGTCCTTTAGTGCAATTTTTGGTTAAAGTTGACTATAGAGTTGCACTGAAGGACCTAGATATTCTTAGAGAGAACATATTAATAAAATCCATGAATCAGATCTGCAAAAGTCAAAACCACAAATGTGGAAGGACAAGTGTATATAGTTTCTAAAATGTTTAATTTTTTAAAATCTGTTTTTAACTCAAATTGATACATCCAGAATTGGCAACCAAGATGAATATGCTTATATACAGTTGATAGAACTAATGATAATCATCTAGTTCAATCTGTTGTTCAGTGGAGAGGCTGCATTGCAAGACACAACTAAAGTTTCCCTGACAGATGGCTGCCCACCTTCAGCTGAAACACCTTCAATAAAGGAAAGTTCGGGGGGTTGCAGACTGCCAGAAATAGTGCAAATTGAGTCCACTTTTAGGCTTAGGGTTAGGGCTAGGGAATCATGGGAACTGTATTTTATTGTGGCACCAGAACTCTCTGACAGAGAAGGCTCAATGTCTCAGGAAAAAAACAATTCCCATGATTCCCTAGCACTAACCCTAACCCTAAAAGTGGACTCAATTTGCACTATTTCTGACAGTCTGCAACCCTCCTTCATCACCTCCCAAGGCAATCCATTGACCACTGTTTCCCATTGAGAAACTTCTCCTGAGTCTCAACTGAATTCTATGATGCTGTAATTTCCTAGCACCATGAAATGTACTGCACAGCTATACTGTCTTCAGGAGCAACATGATTATAGTGTAGCTGTGCAGTACATTTCTGTCTCTGCAACTTTGTCACACCTTTGCTGGATAAATACCTGAATGAAGCTCCTGGCCCAGCTTCTAACACACTTCTTTTCTCATATTAAAAGCCTAGAGAGTTCTCTTTTTGTACTCCTAGATGATGACCAAATCATTGGATCAGCTGAGATACAACTCATGTCTCCCAAGTCTACTCAGATATAGGTCCCATTGACTACCAGCCAGAAATTCCATTTCATTTTATAGGAATCATTGTCATGCCATGGTCTGATTAATCTGTCCCTTAAACCGGGAAGATATTAATCCTCTAAAACAGGGGAGGTTTAACCTTCCAGATGTTGTTTGCAAATTCTATAAGCTCTATCTAGCATTGTAAGGAATGTTGCAGTCCAACAACATCTGGAGGGCAGCATGATTCCCGCTCCTGCTCTAAAATCAAAGTTAGCTCATGAGAGCATTTAGAAAGGAGTTCAGTTGCAAGGTTAAGGATGTGTATGACCCATACCTGCTTCAAGTTATGAAGAAAATACAAAGCAGAATTCCTTCAAATGATGCTAGAGATTATATGTTAGCTATAACCCTAGATATTTAGTTTTTAAAACTCTATGGTTGAGATTGTACATCATCAGATGTAGCTACAACAACCATAGTCATATCTACTTCTGTTGCTTCTGTTGTTGTTATTGTGTGCCTTCAAGTTCTTTCAGACATATAGTGACCCTAAAACAACCCTGAGGCAATATAGTGCAATGGTTTGAACATCTCTGGAAACCAGGGCTCGAATCTGTGCATGGCCTTATATTATTCTAAAGTCTAGCCTTCCTCCATACCCCATCATTTTGATATCAGTCTGATATCAAAAAGGATGTTTTAGCCATGAAGTCGAGAGGGCACTTCCAGTGCTGAAAAGTAGTCATGCCAATATAAGACCATATTTGGAGATCCTACTGGCTCAGCATGGGGGAAAGCTCAAGAATACAGCCAAGAATTGATCAATTAAGAACCCCTGCTTCTGGAATCAGGTGCAGTATCACTCTTTGTAATCCTAAAAATCATTATCTACTACCACCTTTTATATCACTAGTTCTTGGATGTGTGTGCATGCGCGTGTTATGTGTTTGTGTGAAAGTGGATTTCTCTTTCGCTGTTATAAATAAAACCACATCTGGACCTTGCATTCTGGAGTTCTTTTTCTCAGAATCAGTGCACTCTGCTTTTAGATGCCTAAGGCTTGCCTTAGGGTTGGCATAAGTTGGAAATGACTTTAAGATACACAGTAGCAGCAGCAGCAGCAGCAGCAGTGTAAATCTTTCACAAGGTTTTCTTGGCAAGATTTGTTCAGAGGGGGCTTTGCCTTTGCCTTCCTCTGAGGCTGAGAGAGTGTGACTTGCCTAAGGTCAATGGCCAAGCAGGGATTCAAACCTTCATCTTGAGAGTCATAGTCCAATGCTCAAACCACTACACCACACGGGCTCTCACTTCTGCTGATGCCACCCTGAAAAAAATGCGTTTTATACCAAGCAGCATTCACCTTTGATACCAACTGAAGTTTTTTCTGAGATGCTGCAGATTGTAGTGCTGGGAAATAACAATAGCAGTGCTCGCTCAGTTGTAGGACACATTGAGATAGGCAGCTGTGGAAATCCCTTGGAGTCCTGCCATGATTGCTTGTCTTAACACTCCCCACAACTGGGAGAGCACTGTAGTCATAATTTCCCAGCACAGTGATCTACAGGGGCCTGGAAGCCCTTCAACTGGGGTGTTGCCTGGCTTCAGAAGTAGGTTCTTGGGGTCACATGTGGCCATTAATGGCTATAAATCTGAATGCTAAAAGTTACAAGATCATAAACCTGGCTTACAGTCTTGTAAATATTCAGCAAAATGCCAGTGTATATATAGAGTTAAAGTGATCAAAATTACTTATTTTATTTATTAATTTTTATTCCGGCTTTCCAATATAAAAATAGTTCTTAGTTTGGCCAAAAATATAAATGACTAAATCACAATAGTTAACAGATATCAGTTGATGACTCAGTTGTGCACAGAAGTAAAATTTAGCCATGCCAAATCTCATGAGGAATTAAAGAAAGGTTTTCTGTTTTCATTTTAAAATTATATTTTTAACATTGCTGAAATTAACTTGAGCTAATACTGGGGCCAACCTACCATGTCCTGAACATGGCAAGATTGTGGGAGTATGCACTTGCATGTGAACTAGACATTTATTCACATATTTTCTGCCAATGAATTCTACCGCTGGGAATGAACATGGTGACTAATGGAAATTGTTAGAATGGATAGATGAAGCTGAATGAAGTGGAAATCCACCTATCTCTTGATATGACTGCATCTACTGAAGTGGATTCTAGTTCCACAAACTCCCAAACTGATATGAGGTAAACTGATATGAGGAAATAAGTTTCTTTAAATATCTTGATGTATAAACTCATATTTTTCACCATAAGGTAATAGGATAGCAGCATGAAATGTCCCATTCATCTGATCTCTAAGGCCAAGCAAAGTGTATCTTTACTCCCGCTCATGCTTGGAACCTAAGTACCACCAATGTGAATGTGGTACGCCTAGTTGTACGGCATTTACATTCAAAATGGTTCCTCAGTGTCAATACCTAAATAATTTAGGCATTTGGATAAATGTTTCTTTTGGTAGCCATTAGCATTATCTCTACAGAAAAAAAAGATATGAGTGCAGAGAAATGTAAAGGGAATGTGGCTAAGGGTTCAGATGACACGATGGGTGTGGTAATAAAATTGTTCATCTATACAATATATACTTCCTGTTTCCACAATGGAAAATACAGAAAGAATTGAACAAAAGTGGACGATCTCCTCTCGCATACTACAGTATTTAACTTGATGACATCTTTCAATTTGAGTAATTTTTCTTTTAGATGAAATGGTTGCTTTGTTCATTGTGGTTTGTGCATGCCTTAAGCCAACCCCCAGCTTCCTCTCTCACATCATCATAACAGAGTCTACCTTTACAGGTGTGCTGTAGGTCTCTCCTTCTCTGCTTCCTTATTCACTCATACTCTCTCTCATACATGCACACAATCTGCGTCGGCTGCAGCACTCCATTTCACACCTGTAACCTGGGAAAAGGATCTACCCTAATCTCCTGAAGTTCAACATATTTCTTTCCAGCTTGCTTGGACTAAGAAAGCACTGAGCACCTACATCAACCCAACGTCTGACTGTGAGATGATGGTACTTTTTCTCACTGTTCTCTTTTCCAGCATAGTGGCTGGCCTCTCCAAAGGTGGGTTCTCAAGAGAGGTCAAAGGCTGAAAAAGTTTTCCTGTGCAGAATAGTAATCCAAAAGAGAGATGAGTAATACATTGGAAACAGGGGCTATTATTACTGTTGTTGTTATTGCTGCTGTTACTGATCTTCTTCTTGATGTTGCTGCTATTGTTTCTACCTGCAAACTTGGTATTTTCCAAAGATGAGAGGATAGATCTTCATCCCAAGGAGCTTACATTCTATTATGCACTTATTTTAAGCATTTTTTTTAATTTTGCTATTCAGTGAAAAGAAGTTTTCAGAATGATTCAAAATGATCAGAAATAAGAAACTGCCTGCCTGCAGGCTTATGATCTACAAAACAAAACAAAACATCATAAAAGAAAAAAAGGGGGTTGGGAAGGAGGAGGAAAAGCAAAAGACAGCCAGCATAGTACAGTGCAGGGGTAGGCAACCTTTCCCCTTTAAGGGCCGAGGGACTTCAGCTCCCAGAATCCCAGGAGCTATTGGCCAACATGGGACTATTGGCCAACATGGCTGAGGCTTCTGGGAGCTGAAGTCCCTTGGCCCTTAAAGGGGAAAGGTTGGCTACCCCTGGTATAGTGGTTTGAGTGTTGGACTATGACTCTGTGGACTAGAGTTCCCACTTGGCCATGGAAATCCACTGGGTGACCTTGGGAAAGTCACACTCTCTCAGCCTCAGAGGAAGGCAAAGGCAATCCTTCCCTGAACAAATTCTGCCAAGATTGCCTTTGCTTGTGATAGGTTCCATTTGAGGTCATGGTAAGTCGGGAATGACTTGAAGGTATACAACAGGGGTAGGCAACCTAAGGCCCCAGGCTGGTCCTGCCGCCGCCGCCCACCATGATGATATTGATTATTGTTATTACTTGTTCTTGGGGTTTTCTTGGCAAAATCTCCACAGGGGCTTTGCCATGGCTTTTCTGGGGCTGGAGGATTGGTCACTCCTGGAATTGTACACAATTTCCTTTTGGAATTCTTTATATAGTCAGCCCTCTGTATCCATGGATTTTTTTTATCCATGGATTTAACCATTCACGGTTTGAAAATATTAAAAAATAAATAAATTCCAAAAACAACACTTGATTTTGCCATTTTATATAAAGGACACCATTTTACTATGTCACTGTATATAATGGGATTTGAGCATCCAAGGATTTTGGTATCCACAAGGGTCCTGGAACCAGACTCCAGTGGATATCAAGGGCCCACTGTATTGCTATGCTTGTAATGCATTCCATTAAATAAAGTGTCCAACAACATGCCTCCATTTGAACCAGTCATGTAGAAAATTGTGTACAAGTCCCAGATGTACAGCAGTACTTGGAACCAGTTCCTGCAAGGCATAGTCTAAACTGTAAAATGTTCAAACTATGACACAAAATTGTTTTACTTAATGGGTGCATGCATATAATAATGGATACATTTAAAAAAGTGTGCAGAAATTATGTACATTTGAAAGTCTGCCCAGATTTCTCTGTATGTGCCAGGGGACAGAAAAACCAGTACAGAATGGGGGCAGAACCACCTTAGTGGTAAAACCTCACTCCAGAAGTATTGATACAATCACACATGACAGATATGCTCATCCTTAACAAGGATCCCATCATTCTTGTTTTCCTATGGTGAAGGCATATTTCTCTTGGACATGTTTGGTTATCATAATGCTCTGCATTTTTCCATTTTTTCCTGCAGTTGTGGAAGTGACCCAGCCAGCATTTACAGTGGCAAAAAGTCAAGGGCCTGTTAACGTACCGTGCAAATTAAAAAATGCTGGAGATGCAAGGGTACTCAGAATAACTTTACTGAAACAGAGAGGCAACGAGTCCATCAGTATCTGTGCATCATCCCTTCCTACTGAGGATGGCAACCCATTCAGCACAACAGAGAATGGTATCCAGTGTCAAGTTCATCCAGACAGGGAGAGTGTAAACTTTACCCTTTGGGGGTTAAAGTCCACCAATTCTGGGCTATATGTGTGCCAGATGGAATGGATTTATCCTCCACCCTACTATTCAGTCATGGCAAGTGGGACTCAGCTTTATGTTGTTGGTGAGTCAAGAAAACTTATGAATGGTTTCACCAGATTCTTTGAATATATATCTATCTATGGACCCCCCCGCAAATGAAATGGTATCTTTGAGGCCTTTGGAGGGCAACCAGGTTGAAAACTGGACAAGGGTCTTGTATCTCTAATGGTTGTGTAGATGAAGGAATTTCATTAGGTGGCTACACCTACAACCAGTTAACAACCAAGGGCTGCTGAAATACCCTCTTCTGTACAACCATTAAAGATACAGAAGTCCTCTCCAGTTTTCAACCTGGCAACCCAATATTAAGTGGCCTTGAATCTTATAACTCCCATTTTACCCTAGCAGTCCTACTTGATTCAGAAATCTCTCTGAGGTCAGTGAGATTTCTGCCTTAGTAAGCAAGATGATGATAAGCACCTCAATGAGAGCTTGGAAAAATAACTTTTTTAAACAGCAACTCTTTGAATTGCTGAAGGTCTCTGGGAGCTGTTGTCTCACAAGGTACCTTTTCTAAGCTCTGACCTTAAATCATGCCTGCTAGCTGTCCCAATTTGTCTGGATTAAGCTTCTGCCCTTCCACTTTTTCAGCTGCTTTTACAATATTCTAGTTTCTCTCTCTTCCTATTACTTTCCCCCTTTGCTTTACCTCACTGCAGTTGCTACAAACTGAGTTCAAATTGCAAAAGTAGTTTGCACTGTATTAACTCAGTAGGGGAGAGAGGAGAGGAGAGGAGAAGAGAGAAAGAGGCTTGCCCTTCCCACCAGGCTCAAGCAAAATCAAACTGCTGAAGCATCTCTTAGGTTGTGTGTTTTTCCTCATTAAAAATGTTTCTGTCTTCACCACACTTTGATGTTGCATGGCCACATTTGTCCTGGATGAGATGTGTACCAGGATATACAAGCAGTTAGGATGTTACAACCTCAGGATTTAGCTAATCCTCTAAATTACCTGCATTTTTGCTATCTTCAGCTAGTGGTATTCCCTTGTAAGTAACTTTGCAGGGACTCCAGTTGTAAACTGACTCTAAACTTTCCTCAGCTATTACTGAATTGTAAAATGCTTCCCTATACTACAGGTTAGGAGATGCCTTTTTCCAAGCCTAACTGCTTAGTGGTAGGCTGAACACTGGGTGGGGGAAGGTTGTATGATCGCCAT